TCGGCCATTTCATCTCGTCGGTATTCAGCCACGATGACGACGTGTATTTTAAATCTGCACGCCTCGCCCTCATGGCTAGCGTTGTTTTATTGTGCGAATAATGCTTGTCTTCAGGAATTGTGAGAATTGCTCCCATCCATCCGATAGATTTTTGAGAGGGAAAGAATTGCTCCCGTACATGACATGCACAAGGCAATATGTGACTCATCTGACATGAATATAAATATGTATAGATCATGGTTGGTCTGATGCTAATAAGACTCAAACTCATCCTAAGTTTATACAAATAAATATCCACATCCAATATTTGATATTGATAATTTAGACGGTTCAACCCTCACGAGGGTCAGGCTCGCCTTGTATTTATTTGCGGCCCATATTAATCGCTTGACAAAATGACGTGTGCGTCTGCATGCGCCACTGGGGATACTTATATCCATGGCTACAATTCACAACGCATCCACGACATATTCACCAGTACTCCACTTTACTGTTTTACCGTCCAGGCTGCGCAACTGCACAACCCTACGGTGTATATTTGCTCCCTCTAGAAGATAATGCCGGGCTATGCATAATATCTGCACAGTACTACGACGCTGTTGTATTGTCGATGACAAATAGCTTGACGAAGAAATTATGTTGATGAAGCGCGGCTCGACGGAAGGCGAATGATTAATTTAGAGTTGCACCAGCGACGATGAAGCATACTCCTTGACGTTGACGATTACTTTGCCTTCTCCTGATTCCTCCCAAATATTTGTGTGGCTATAATATTCACCATCACCAGCACAGGCCTGCATCTTGGCGCAGCGCCTGGCGGCGGCGTGTACGCGTGTGCGCCCCTCGCGAGGAGGGCGATCAGGCCCTTTATATAGGCAGAGCAGCAGCAACGGCGCGGCCTCATCCTCGCGAGTTTTCAGCGTCGTCGACGTGTTGTAGATAATCAATCAACCACCTACTGTAGATAAGGAAATTAACAAATCGCCTGCATGCAGAAGCAATCACGACATTAAATAGCTAATGACAGTGGGCCCCATGAATATATCATATGTGTTTGTTTGCCATGATTTATCTCCTCGGCACAGATAAACCATGCACAACCATAGAGATAATCTTAAGATTAGGATAGCAAATGACAGTGGGCCACACATGTTGTTTGCCTTGGCTTATCACTTCGTTATTAGAGATAATGCCCAAATCAATCACAACAAACCAACCCAAGTACGTATAATGCTAGTACTAGCTGATTTTTCCATTTCACCAACTCATATCTCTTCAATGGTTGATTCGAGAAGCAACCCCTGATTGCCGAGTTTCTTATGACAATCCATCATGACCATCCAACCGGGGCTAAATACGGAGGAGTACCCTCCCCAGGAAAGTAACTTAGGACTATATACACGCGCGGAGGAATACCCGTACTGAGCTGTCACCATCAACGGCCCACCTCGCTTCCGCATCATATAACCCCAAATAATGATATCCAGTAATCTAAACACCACGCTTAAATTACCAAATACTACTCTAATATCATCGTCATGACATAGAGTCATCGTATGCACGTTCATTATACCCACACTATTGCATTTCCCAGTTTAGCTAGCATCATAATCAATATAACTCGGATATATAGTAAAGTTAGTATTCATATACTCGTAAAGTAATACAATACCAGAGTAGTATAAAGAAGAATATTCTAATAAAAGTACTAAGTCTTACAAAGGAAGGAAAACTACTAGAGCTATATTCGAACTCTTCCGAAGACTCTGAGGATTGAAGATTCTATTCTATTTCTATTCCACTGTACTCTAGAGACTATACTAAACTTGAGAAATGTATGAAGCTTCTTGCTTGAGGTGTGTGGAAGAAGTGAGAAGGTGAAGGTCTTATATAGCTTTCCAATGACGGTTGTGACGGTTGGAATGGTCGGATATACCCTCTAACTGTCATTGGGAGCTAATCCACACCGTCCACGCCAAGCCCTGCATCCAATGGTGATGTGGGGGGTTCGGTCGAACCCACTGGTTCAGCCGAACCATGGGCCGGCCCAACCAGCCCACATTTCGGCTAGTGGCCTCCTCGTGTTCTTCTCTTCCCAGACTTGTGAATTTTAGCCCAATTTGAGTATGCCACTTCTGAGTTCTTGCCCCACCTTCCTCTAAGTCCGATTCTCAACAGCGTCCGATTGATCGATCGTTTATTTTGCTGTCGATTCTCCTCCATTTATGTTTATTCTCTGCAAGAGGTTAGTAATCCTGGCACTAGTGGAATATTTCTTATTTTAACATGATATGCATTGCAAGTATAACTAGTTTTTATTTATTAAGGTAATATTGATGGGCGAAACTGATCGATAACGACCGTCAACAGTACCCATACCTTGCATCTGTACATTTGAGATATACAGCATAGTAGCAACTCCTGATCAACAACCAAGTTTAGATTTTTGTGAAGTCCTTTACTCGGGACAAGAAAAGGTTCAAGCTTGGGCGTTTTTGATTATGGTCGTTATCGATCAGTTGCGCCTGTCAATGTTACCAAAATAAAGGAGAACTAGTTGTGCTTGCAAAGCATATTTATATTAGAATAAGTGATATTCCACTAGCACTAGGATTCTAACATCTTAAATACAAAATAGGGGAGAATCGGCAGCAAAACGGACGATCAATCAATCGGACGCTGTCGAGAATCAGACTTGAAGACAAATTGGATGAGAACACCAAATTTACAAGAACCAACAAGCCCAAAATTCAGAAGTCTGCGGAGAGAAGCAAACAAGGAGGCCGCCTGCCAAAGTTTGGGCTGGTTGGGCCAGCCCAGGGTACGGCCGAACCCTGGGTTCGGCCGAACCAGCCGCAGCACTGATGGATCCAGGGTTTGGCTGGACGGTAGAGATCAACTCCCAATGACAGTTGGAGAGTATTACCGACCTTTCCAACCGTCATCACCAGCCTATAAAAGGCCTTCACCTCTTCCATTTCAACACACACCTCAAGCAAGAAGCTTCATACATTCTCTCAAGTTTAGTATAGTCTCTAGAGTATAGTGGAATAGAAATAGAATAGAATCTTCAGTCCTCAGAGTCTTCGGAAGAGTTCGGCTATGCCTCTAGTATCTTTTCCTTCTTTTGTAAGACTTGTACTATTTATAGAATATTCTTCTCAATATATTTACGGTACTTTCCTTCATTCTGATTATTCGAGTACCAACTTTATGAAATATTATTCGAGTTATAATTGTTTAGCTAACTTACTCGGGAGATGCAATGCTGTGGGTATAATGTTCATTTATATGATTACTCTATGTCATGATGATGATGGTAGAGCAGTATTTGGTAGCATAAGCGAGGTGCTTAGGCTATTGAATATCATTATTTAGAGTTATATGCTGCAGATATGTCGAGGTGGGCCGCTGATGGTGACAACTCAGTACGAGTATTCCTCCGCGCGTGTATATAATCCTAAGTTATTTTCCTAGGGAGGGTACTCCTCCATATTTAGCCCCGGTTGGATGGCCATGATGGATTGTCATAAGGAACTCGACAACCAGGGTGGTTTCTCGAAACACCAGGAGGGCATCGTAAGGGGGTATTGGCTATATAATTATATAGTAGATAATATTGACTAAAGTGTATGTATGTATATTAAAAGTATAGCAAATGACTCTTTTCTTATTCTTTCCACTTAGTCTAGAATTAATATGTATGAGAAAAGTGAATGCTTCTGCTTAGTGTCACCCTACCCTTTTGGATTATATTAACTCTTGTTTAGACTTTGATTATTACAAGTAACATATAAATATTAGCTTGGTTCTCTCCATAATAATCTTTCCAAAGGATTAAACAAATACGATACCCTTGGAATACTCTCGGGTGAAATGCTACAATGGTATATCCGTGCGCTTGCGGATGAAATCTGTAACCGTAATATACTAAGAGTGTTTCTGCGTCATTGCTGGAAATTATATTTTTGATAATGTCGTTAAGAATACCAACACGCGGTATCCTACAATTAAAACCGCGAAGTCATGATGTCACGTAACAAAATTTACCTTTTTTAGCTACGGAGTACGTGTGTAACGACTTGTCTTTAAGAGCTGCTATAGATAAAATTTGCCTTTTTTAGCTACGGAGTACGTGTGTAACGACTTGCTTTAAGAGCTGCTATAGATACATAATTAACTGACAGGTGTTGGCTGCCGGAATTGTTATAAAAATCTGTCGATAGATTTTTAACAAAATAATCTGTCAATTTTTAGACTACGGTTTAAGTTAAGATTAGTGCTAGGGTGCTAGAAAAATGCAACCGCGCGAGAGAGCTGGAGCCTGGAGGGAGGAATCGAGCGCGTGGACATCATGCGCTGCTGTTCCAAGCTACTTACCAACTGAGCTAGCAGGTATTGATGGTTTTGTTGCAAAGATATATTTATATTAAAATTACCGCCGTTACACTATATTTACAATGTAAATACACTATAATTAAAAATAAAACATTTATTTATTATGATGTAATTTTTTTATCTGGATTGTAACTTTTCTACTACTTGGTGTAATTTCTGTTGTTGTTAAGCCCAGTAGTTAACTAGTGTGTTTTTTTCTTCCTTTTTGCTAGCGTCAGATAAAGTTCCATGGTATTAGAGCAGGTACAATAGTAGGCTATTAGCCAGCTATAAACATATTTTAATAAGATAAAAAATAAGAGATAAGAGAAGCGGACTACAGATTTATAGTCAGCTGCAGCACGGACTCTAAGATGCAGTGTGTGTATGATAGGTGTGACCATATATTAATAGTATAGTAAGCAGCTGTTATATTGTGTGAATTGACTATTAGATTTAGCTATATATAAATTAAAGCTAGTAGTGAGCTATCCTATTAAACTTACTCTTAACACCCGTACTTGAATTTGATAGTTTTAATCTGAGGCGTACGTAGCTATTTGGTGGCTTGAAAATCTGAGTGATTTAGCAGCCAGCCAGTCACCCGTGCTTTGGATCAGCGAACGGCAGCCACTCTTTCCACATCCCCGGATCAACCAAGCGCTGCCTTCCAATGCCACCTGCGATTTGGTTATTTATAGACGTAATGGATTACCACACAGGTCCTCAAGCCACTGCTGCAGCGTGACTCTGCTCTAGCACCTCACCAAGCAGAAAGCTAGAGAGCTAGCAATGGCGCCCACCGTGATGGCCTCGTCGGCCACCTCCGTTGCTCCCTTCCAGGGGCTCAAATCCACCGCCGGGCTCCCCGTCAGCCGCCGCTCCAACAGCGCCGGCCTCGGCAGCGTCAGCAACGGTGGAAGGATCAGCTGTATGCAGGTATGAACAAGCCAACATAGGATCAGTACAAGCTTAATTGGTATCTTCATCCTCATCACACACACAGGAAATTAAAGAGAGCTCATCAACTTTAACCCATATGATTTCTCTGCGCAGGTGTGGCCGATTGAAGGCATCAAGAAGTTTGAGACCCTGTCGTACCTGCCACCGCTCACGGTCGAGGACCTCTTGAAGCAGATCGAGTACCTGCTCCGGTCCAAATGGGTGCCTTGCCTCGAGTTTAGTAAGGTCGGGTTCGTCTACCGTGAGAACCACAGGTCTCCTGGGTACTATGATGGCAGGTACTGGACCATGTGGAAGCTGCCTATGTTCGGATGCACTGATGCCACCCAGGTGCTCAAGGAGCTCGAGGAGGCCAAGAAGGCATATCCAGATGCATTTGTTCGCATCATCGGCTTCGACAACGTCAGGCAGGTGCAGTTGATTAGCTTCATCGCCTACAAGCCCCCGGGTTGCGAGGAGTCCGGCGGAAACTAAGCTAGTTGGCAAGCCAGCAAGCTCACTCGTGAGCTCTATACAGAGGAGACTCGATTGATCTATTCGGTTTTGGCAGCTTTGAACGTTCGAATCGGGCCACCTTGCATTGGTTTCCCCTTTCCCAGTTTGTTGCTTCAGTTTTTTTTTTTCATCTTGTTTGTGTCAACATCAGCTGTGTATGTATGTACATATGTATGTATCAACATAGGTTGAAGAGCATGCATATGTGAATGCTAGCACCAGGCTAATCATATGCACATACACATCGTAATAAATATATTGTACAAATCGTCAAAAACGATACTTATATGTAATACTATACTCAGACCAAACTTGATACCTCTGGTTTCCATTTCAATTATGTGTGGTAGGACATGCATAGCATTGTTGGGAATTACTTAATTCGTTTCCATGCAAACAGTTCAAAGATACACGCGCGCAAATACGGGCGCCCTCGTTCACATATGTAAATTATTATGTATACATATAACTCTAATCAGATAAAATTCAAAATGAACTGCGAGTCCAAGCTCGATCATCCTGAAATTGCCTCCTCTTCTACGATTCTATACGTAGCACTCATTTCTGAATTGAAACTTTTGTGAGCTTTGGCTTTTGATCCTCGGGTGTTCATCTATTGATGCATACATTCATTTGAACTATATTTAAGCCAAACTTATCTAACGCAGTTGAATTGTCGCCTTCTGTCATTTCAAGGAAATTTGTTGCTTTCTGAACCTTTGTGCTAAAGTTGGAATTTTAGTCCATTGTTTTGGCGTCCAAGATTTTTTTTCCCACATCATGACAATTTTTAATTTAAGAAACACGTTAAATAATAATTTTATAATATATCCTCATAGATCTATTTGCAAACATATAGACCCCACAAACAAATTATTTCTGTACCATTTGCAATTCCAAATTTGCCAACATTAGCTAATAGTAGTGTGTTGTTCTGATTTAGTTCAAAAATACCTGCTAACGATAATAAAATTTAAAAGGGTATTCCGTCGCAAACCTGAACTGTACCAATTTTGAATAATGTACTCCCTCCGTTTCAGAATGTAAGTCATTCTAGTATTTCTCATATTCATATTGATGTTAATAAATCTAGATAGATATATATGTCTAAGATTTATTAACATCAATATGAATGCGGAAAATACTAGAATGACTTACATTGTGAAATGGAGGAAGTACATAATAAATGATTAATTAATACTGAACAGAGAAACAAAAGTTGTCATCATCTTAATAGTCCTTTCTCAGTGTCCAACTGTTCAGGAGATAGGGTTATGATAATACTAGACCACATATGTCCAGTTTCAAAGGATAGGTTCATAAACTAGACCACAAGTGTCCCAACTACAGGATTAGATAGGAATCAACTTGTGATGCCTAGAAGACGTACGTAAATGACAAGGACGTAGGAAAACACACGGTTCATTCCATGTTTCTGGGTAGTGGACATATCATAGATACCAGCATAGGAAGTCACGCATTTGCACAACTATAACCATCCTAATTATACATTATATATATGAAAATATACTAATGATATTAGATGAACGAAAAATCTGTTTTCATTACTGTCGAGAAGTAATCCTCTCTAGCGGGTGGTCGTGAGACCCCTCTTTGTGAGTTCGGCCGGGGGAGATGGCGCGATGATCAAGAGACTTCCACTTGAGATCTAACTACTGGATCGTTCACGAGTATGCATGGAAGACCAAGGATTATACAGGTTCGGGCTGCTGGGAAGCGTAACACCCTACCCTGAGAGCCCGAGGGGTGTGACGTGGCACCCCGAGCCCCCTCAGCCACCTCAGCGCTATCCGAGGGGCGGGGGAAGGCGAGGCGCATGGCTACGTGACTAAACGGGAAGGATACTTCCCTTTACTGTGTGTACCCCCGGGCCTATATCACCGACAATTATAGTCACACTTTTGTGCAACCACAACCGCCATCTATATTTATATTATTTAGCTTGATTTATATGTTGTATATGATAACAAATCACCCACCATAATATATTGGGAACTTTAAATTCATATGATAATTTAAGTTTACATAACTTTATCATTATTTTTCACTGTCTTCACCGCTGCACCAGTCGCCGCCTTTTCACCACCTCCACTGTTACATGACCCTTATTCTCCCCTTAGTTTTCCATTGGTGTCTGTTTTATAGCTTAAGCACATAGATACATTTCATCCTGTATATTTCAACTAATACAATACATTAAATCATAAGTTTGAAAGTCATCCTCAAAACAGAGCAATTTGAATGGTATTTCCAAACATTGGTTCTGCTCTTTAAATACCAAGCAAATCAAACTGACTACTACCAGGCTAGAATAAGCCAATCAAATTGGTGTCACAGGCTGTTTGCTATGCTGATCTTTTCAGCTTGTATCCAAGCGTCAAACAGTTCTGAATGACCCAAAATCTGTTATGCCAGTAGAATATTACTCAGTCTTCCAAGTTAAGAGTCAAACAAAACAGGGAAATGAGAACAAAATTTCAACTATTGTACTTCTGTCCACCATGTATCCAAAATTTCAACTATCGTACATTCCTTTTCTCGAACAACAAATATGTGCCGATTGTAGCAAGTATTGTTCAGCATGACACTGATGTTGTCTGAAGATCTTGATTCATCTGAGATAAAGATCGAAGAAGTTCAGACTTAAAAACACCAGTACGTAATATACAATATATCTCAGATGAATCGTACGCAATGGCTATTAAGACTTTGTCCATGATTCAGTCTTCAACCAAGACCATTCCATGTATATATTTTCCAATACCAGTTTCAGTTATTAAAATCCATAGTTGTGGAAGAAACATTTAAATATGCACATTCCAACTACTCCCTCCGTTCCCTAATATAAGAGATTTTGACATTTTACTTGCACTGTTTGACCACTCGTCTTATTTAAAAAATGTGTGCAAATATCAAAAACGAAAAGTTGAGCTTAAAGTACTTTGGATAATAAAGTAAGTCACAAATAAAATAAATAATAATTCCAAAATTTTTTGAATAGGACGAGCGGTCAAATAGTGTAAGCAAAATATCAAAATCCCTTATATTAGGGGACAGAGGGAGTATTTAGAAGAGGAGGTGTATTCGCACTCATAAATTATTGATGTTAATGGGCTAACGACAGATCATTTTAATCAAGATTTCAAATTCAGAAACGGGCAGTACTACCATAAGTTTGAGGAAATTGTTCATTAGAAGGATTGATCACCTTACGGCATTGCATGCTACCTTACAGCATTGCATGCTATTCGCTGCAGTCATGTAGCAATTCACCAACACCGCCATCATCTTCACAGTTGCATGGGAGAGGTGGGGGGCATGTCTTGGGCAGCCAGAAAACATCTGTGAGAAGCAGTAATCCTTGGGCCTCTACTATAGCTATCAAGAAAGTGCAGAAGCAATGAACATGCTATGCATGGCCTGCCATACGTTCCTGATATCAGTTTTAAATTCCTTGGTAGATTGTACTTGATACATACTCTTAGTTTCCTTGGGCTAATGAGGCAATCTGATGACTCATTGTAGACAGTAAGCTAATGTGATTACAAATATACTGGTCAAGTGGTCATTATGAAAAAAGTTCATACTAAAAAATCAAATCATGGTCAACGTTTATATTAGTCAACCTGCATGTAGTATCTTCTACTTCGTCCCTTTCAGTTACAAGACATTTTGACTTTAGTCAAAGTCAAACTGTTTCAAGTTTAACTAAATTTATAGATAAATATAGTAATATTTATAATACTAAATTAGTTTAATCAAATCAATTATTGAATATGTATTTTCATAATTAATTTGTTTTGGGTTAAATATGTTACTACTTTTTTCTATAAACTTAATCAAAATTAAAGCAGTTTGATTTTGACCAAAGTCAAAACGTCTTATAACCTGAAACAGAGGGAGTACTAAATACCTCGATTTAACAGTTCTACCTTTTTTGTAAGAATAATATGACTAATTATTATACTTGTTGTCACATTTGCCATTTGAACTTTTGTTAAACATATCAAATGCCTAGGAATGCATCTCAGTATATCAAATTAGGTACATATACATGTATTGATATGATTTTTACTCAATGACAACTGTCCAGACATTATGTTTCTTAATAAGTAAATAAGAATCTGGTACCAATTTCATTAATTTACTTGGCAAATTATGTAGTAGCTTACAGTAACTGTTTGTCACAACATCTTCATCAGCACTGTAAATTTTTCTATGTAAAATCCATCTAATGGAGCAACTTTTTTGATTGATTATCGCAAAATGTTAAGAGCCATCATCAGAACATATGCAGTATAATATCCCTATTTAAATAGATTCTTGTGTCAATTTTGACAGTTTACCTTTGAATCAAGCTGTAGCGTTGATGTGCTGTATAATCGCACATCACTGAAAACGTGGTAGACATTAACAGCCGCTGGTTGTGGAGAGGAGCAAGAGGAAGGGGTCGTCGTTGCCGTGGCTGTCGGTTGAAATGCTGTGCAGTGACCAGATTTAGTTCTCCCAGACCTCTGAATGGCGGGATCCAGAGGTGCACGCCGACGGGGATGACGTCGGGGGGTGCACGAGAAGGATAGCTTGTTCCACCCCTAACCATCCATTTGGGGGGAGGGGGGGGGATAGGAAAAAAGTGGGGGAAGTAGAGACGCAGCGACACCGGAGAAAGAGGAGGCGACACTAGCTAGGGAGGAGGACGCGATGACAGGGGATGTGGAGGAAGCGGCGGTGTGGGTGTGGAGGAGGTGGTGAAGGCACGGTGAGCGCGCGCGGAGCAAGAGCGGCGTCTCAGCCTCCTGGCTTCTCCATTTAATTCGGAGAAAAAGAGGTATTTTTGTTCATGGAACATTGATAGAGAAAAAAGCCGACTATTGGATTTGAACCGATGACCCTCGCATTACAAATGCGATGCTCTAACCTCTGAGCTAAGTGGGCTTACATAACAGAAATAGTGTAACAAATAGAAATATGTATAGTATAGGAAATCCGTAAAATGTCATATCTTAATTATTAATCTTAGCTATTAACTAGTTCGAAATTGGAAGTTCTACTTAGAAAACAATACTAGAACTTCATAAAATAAAGTTAGATAGATTTTTTTGAACTTTCTTTTTTCTCTAATTCGCAAATCTATTTTTCTAATAGAATCTATTCCAATTTCTATATTGAATTTGATTTTAGATATTTTTAATTTGATATGGCTCGGACGAATAATCTAATACATGGAAAAGAATAAATAATATATATACGAAAACATAATAAAGAGAACATGCGAATTTCTTGTATTTTCAGTCCATCATTATAGACATTTTTTGA